GTAACCTTGGTTGTAGGTTGTAGCTATTCATCACTTTGAATATCTCTTGTCCCTTCTTTCTAGCCTTCAAAATTTCTTTTGAGAAATCAGCTGACAGCCTTATGGGAGCTCCCTTATAGGCAACTAAATGCTTTTCTCTTGCTGATTTGAAGATTCTCTCTTTGTCTTTAACCTGTGGCATTTGGATAATCATGTGTCTTGGTGTGGTCCTCTTTGGGTTCATCTTGTTTAGGACTCTTTGTGCTTCCTGGACTTGTATGCTTGGTTCCTTCACTAAGTTAGGGAAGTTTTCTGTCATTATTGTTTCAAATATGTTTTCAATTTCTTGCTCTCTCTCTTCTTCTCGCACCCCATGATGCAAATGTTGGTACCCTAGAAGTAGTCAAAGAGGCTCTTTATACTACCCTTATTTTTTGGATTTGTTTTATCTTTTTGGTGTTCTGATTGATTGATTTCTGCTTCCTTATATTCCAAAAAAATGGTTTTCTTCTTGGCTTTACCTACTCTACTATTGATTCCCTATAAGTTATTCTTTATTTCAGTTAGTGCATCGTTTATTACTGACTTTTTTTTAATGCTGTTGATGTTCTCACTAAGTTCCTTGGAGGTCTCTTTAAGTTCCTTGGAGGTCTCCTTAAGTTCCTTGAAAGTCTCACTAAGTCCCTTGAATGTCTCACCAAGTTCCTTGAGCAACCTTATAACCTGTTTTCTGAACTCTGCATCTGATTGATTGCTTTCCTCCATTTTGTTTAGTTCTTTTCCTGGAGTTTTGTTCTTTTCTTTCATTTGGAACATGTTTCTTTGTCACCTCATTTTGGTTGCTTCCCTTAGATTGTTTCTATGTATTAGGTAGAGTTGCTATGTCTCCTAGGCTTCATAGGGTGAGCTATTGTTGTAGGTGTCCTGTAGGATCCAGTGGCACAGTTTCCCTGATTACTCCAGCTGGGCTGTCGAGGTGCACCCCTAGTGTGGACTGTACACACTTCTGTTGTAATTGAGTCTTGATTGCTCTTGGCACATTAATGGGAGGGATTTACTCAGACTGATCAGCTGAAAGGACTGGCTGTGAACACTAGCCACAGGCCTCTGACTACCTTAGTGGAGCAGCTATGCAGGGCCCACCACACAGAGCAAGACTTACTTCATCAGGGCTCTGGTACCCACTGAGTTCGCTCACTGAGTATGTCACTTGTGGAGGTGGTTGTGTGGTGGTGTTTCGATGTGTTCTGAAGCTGTCCACTGGGTGTGCTGGCTCTGGGCAAGGTCAGCCACTGCCTGTGTTTTATCCAGGGCTACTGGGCATTAGCTTAAAAGTGATCTGCTGATGGCTGCTTCTTGTGCTGGGCTTGGAGATGCCCAGGAAATGGCAAGTTGTGCACCAAAGCTGGCTGCTTCTAGTGCCAGGCCTTGAGCCACTTATCGAGAGTAATGGGGCTCGCTGAGACTAGAAGCTACTTGTTTGAGTAATTTTTGGAAACTCTGACACAGGATCCAAGACAGGCAAAACCTATAGTAAAGCTTTTGGAAACAGCTTGGGTGGGCCTGAAGGTTGGGTGGGCTGGGGCCTCAGTGAATCACAAGGTGGGGCAAAAAGTGTGGGCCAGGTTGCTGGAGTCTCAGATATGGCAGTGTCACCTCCCCTGGGGAAGAGCTCACCAAAGGAACATCAGCCTTTGCCAGCACCTCTGTCCAGGAGAAAGCCACTTCCCCAGCCTGTATTCTGAGGCCAAGCAGCCCAGGTCATCCCTGTATGTCTATGGGACCCCTCAAGCTGCCTTTTCTCCAAGCCCAGAGGGAGCAAGTCTGAGTAAGTTTGTGCAAGGACCCTTTAAGAGCAGTTGCCTGGGGCTTCCGCAGTTGCAGCCGCAGCCTCCGTCTGCCTCAGTTCCTGCTGGTTTTTCCAGCCAGAAGTTATGGGCACTTTTCTTCCTGACACTGGAACCCTGAGCTGGGCACCTGGTGTGGTACGGGAAGCCCTCACTCCTCAGGGAGGACCTTCCCAGCCTAGGTGTCCCTCCTGATTTTTATTTGCCACATGTGGGTGTGGGACCAGCCTATCTGCAACTTCACCCCTCTTACGAGTCTCGGTATGGCTGTTTCTTTAATTTTGTAGTTTTAGGATTTCCATTCAGCTCAATTTCAGGTGGTACTGAATGATGATTGTGTTGTAGTTTAGTTGTAACTGTGATGTGGTTGTGGGAGGAGAAGATACTGTGTTTACCTATGCCACCTTCTTGACTGGAAGTCCTGTAAATTATTCTTTAAAAACGTTTATTTCTGTATTGATTTTATCAAGTAAGGGAGAGGGAGAGAGAGATAGAAACATTTATGAGAGAGTACATCAATTGGCTGCCTCCTGCATGCCCCCTAATGGGAACTGGCCCACAACCTAGGAATGTGCCCTGACAGGGAATGAAACCAGTGACCTCCTGGTGCATGGATCGATGCTCAACTACTGAGCCACACTGGCTGGGTCTTCTAAAGTATTCTTTATTTCAGTTAGCGCAATGTTTATATCTGGCTCGTCCTTTTTTATGCTCTTGACATTCTCACTAAGTTCCTTGAAATTCTCCCTCAGTTCATTGAGTATCCTTACAAGCATTTTTTGAACTCTGCATCTGTTAGATTGCTTATCTCCATTTTGTTTAGATCTTTTTCTGGAGTTTTGTTCTGTTTTTTCATTTGAGACACGTTTCTTTGTCTCCTCATTTTGGCTGCCTCCCTGTGATTGTTTCTATGTATTAGGTGGAGTTGCTATTTCTCCTAGGCTTCCTTGGGTGGCCTATTGTAGAAGGTGTCCTGTAGGTTCCAGTGACACAGCCTCCCTGATCAGCACAGCTAAGCCTTCCTGGTGCACCCCTGGTGTGGAATGTCTATTGTTATGTTGTAATTGAGTCTTGACTTCTGTTGGCACATTAATGGGAGAGATTTACTCAGGATGATCAGCTGCCAGGACTGGTTGTTCCCACTGGCCACTGACCTCTAACTATCTTGGAGGATCAGCTGTGCAGGGCCCACCACACAGAGCAAGATTTACTTCATCAGGGCTCTGTTATCCACTGAATCCCCTTCTTGAATGTGGCATGTATGGAGTTGGTTGGGTGGTGGTGCTTTGACATGGTCTCAAGCTGCCCACTGGGTGTGCTGGCTCTGGGGAAAGGTCAGCCACTGCCTGCATTCTACCCATGGCCACCAGGCATAAGCTGCAAAACAATCTACCGATGGCTTCATTTTGTGCTGGTCTTGGAGGTGCCCAGGCAAATACAAGCTGTGAATCAAGACTGGCTGCTTCTAGTGCCAGGCCTGGGGCCAGTTAGCTAGAGATATGGGTCTTACTGAGGCCAGGTACTGTTTGTTTGAGAGAATGAAGGAAAATCTGAAGCAGGAGCCAAAACAGGCCAATCCCATGGTAAAGCCAGTGGAAAGAGCTTGGGTGGGCCTGAAAGTTGGGTGGGGCAGGGCCTCAGGGAATCACCAGGGCGGGGCAAACAGTGTGAGCCAGGTTGCTGGAGTCCCACATATGGCACCAGTTTGAGTCCCCATCAGGGAAGGGCTCCCCAAAAGAACAATGGCCTCAACAATCAAGTCTGTCCTGGAGAAACCACCTCTCCAGCTGTCACCCTAATGCCAAACAACTGAATTCTTGCCTCTATGTCTCTGGTGCCTTTCAAGTTGCCTCCCTCATACTGGAGCCTGGAGGGAGCAGGTCCCAGTAAGTCTGTGTGAGGGCCTTTTAAGAGGAACTGCCTGGGACTCCCGAAGTCTCAGCCTCCCTAAGCCTCAGTTCCTGGTGGTTTTTACAGTCAGAAATTAAGGACTTCTCTTCCTGGTACGGGAACCTGGGGCTGGGGGGCCTGGTATGGGATGGGCACCTATTCCTCCTCAGAGAGGACTTTCACATCTGATGCATCTCTCCTGATTTTTTTGTTATCCTCTCCCAAGAATATTTTCCTACTTATCTTTAGATAGAGTGGGAGGGAAGGAGAGAGAGAGACAAAGAGAAACATGGACACGAGAGGGACACAAGCCTCCTGCACAAGCCTTACCAGGGTCTCGGACGAACTGCAACTGAAGTACATGCCCTTGGCTGGAATTGAACCTGGGATCCATTGGTCCACATGGGCTGATGCTCTACTGCTGAGCCAAACTGGCCAGGGCATCCCTCCTGAGTTTTATCCTCCACATGTGGGTGTGGGACCAATCCGTTCCCAACTCCGCCCCTCCTACCAGTTTCAATGGGGCTTCTTTAATTTTGTAGTGTAGGACTTCCATTCAATTCAATTTCAGGCAGTTCTGAATGCTGGTTGTTCTGTAGTTTAGTTGTAATTTTGATGTGGTTCAGCTATCACCTCTTTCATGTCACATAGTTATTTTTTTGCGTTGAGAACAATGAAGACTTAGTCTCTTAGCCACGTTGAAGTTTATAATGCCTCATTCTTTTTCTTCCGGAATTTTTTTTTGTTCATAACAGGAATGTTAAAAATTATATTAAAGTATAATTCTATAACTTGAAGACCTAAAATTCAATGCATTTTTCCTAATCCTTTCACTGCCTCATTCTTATTACATTTATGAAATTATAATTTATTGAAGGACTACTAAATATCCTTCAATATTTATCCTTCAAAATCAAACAGCCTTACTGAAGTGGGGTCTGTATCCGGGGCAGTGGTCACAAATTAGGCACTGCATTGAGTTTTGGGGTTCTATCAACTACCACCAGTTCCTTAGCCTCACTGGTAAATTAGGGCAACCAATTTAGAGAGCTTATGAGTATTAAATAAAATAATATATATGAAACACTTAGCATGTACTTTAGCCCATTATTCTAAAAAAAAACAAAAAACAGCTCAGATATAAAAGGAAAAGTGAGGAACTGGTTTTGTTGGGAGTGAATGCTTCAGTTTGGGGTTGATCAGGCTGGGGAAGGCGGAAGAAACTGCGGCTAATGCCGCACCGAGGTACCAGGGACTAGAATCTTCCACCCACTTGTTTTCCAGGAATTCATTGCGGCCCACGTGGGCTCCTTTCATACCTGGATAGGTCTCACTGAGAGCTATGGTTCCTGGAAATGGGTGGATGGCACGGACTATGGGAACAGCTACAAGTAAGTGTCCTCGCCCCACGGCCCCTAGTTTGCCTGGGGACGGCCTCCTAGCCTTTGGCCCCAATATACCCCCACCCATCTTTAGGGACAAATTCCCCATCCCTCTCCCCTGGAGACCCCCACCCTCCAAGGCTGCAGCCTCTGCTTCCTGAACCCTCCAAGGCTGTACTTTCCTGAGGTGGGGTTGAAGATTGCTGGGATGGGGTGGTCAGAGTTTGAGCTCTGTTCTGCCTTCCTAGGAACTGGGGTCCTGGTCAGCCAAATAACTGGCAGGGGCACGGGACCGGTATAAACGAAGACTGTGCCGAAGTCCGGGAGAATGGCCGCTGGAACGACAATTTCTGCCAGCGGGTGCAACGCTGGGCATGTGAGATGTGAGGGAACATCACCAGCTAGAAGCCCTGACCTCCACCCATCTCTACTGCACCCCACTCCTACCCCACT